GTCATGACGCTGCAATTGCTAAGCGCTACAGATGAGAGACAACAGCCTGATAAGAGAAAAAAATCTGCAGCTTCAGCAGCTTACTTTGCAAGGCCCAAGCGCTCTTGTCGGTTGGTTTCCGTGCACGGGAACGCCACATTTGTGATTGTCCTCTAGGGGTCTATACTACAGACCGAAGGAGAAGCGTTCACACGACCTCTGCCTGGGTTGTGCCTTTAAGCTTAAGGCCTGTTGGTTAAGTTAGCTCAGAGATTCGGGAGAGATTGCAGTTTCCAAATGTTTTTCTGTGAACAGCAACCTTCCCCCAACCCCCTCCCTCCTTGACGTATGTATGGTTCACAAAACCATGTTTCGTTTTCACTAAACGGTTCCAGTAGTATCGAAAAGCAGTGCAAGATACTGGTAATGGTTCGATTCCGTGGTGGCGTCAAAATTTTGCATTCAAGGTTGGCGGCTACTCGTTGGCTTCAACTTGGCCCTGACTATGAATATGACATCTGATTTCAAAAATCAGGCGCCAACCTGGGAAGCAGAGTTTATTCGCCACGGGGGATTGAACCAACAACAGTATGTTAGAACAACTACTAAAGCCGCTTACTGAAAACGAAAAAAGCTTTGATGGCCCATACATGCGTCCTTACAGTATGAAGGAAACGTTTTGAAAAAGCGCCCTCGGGAGTGGAGGACCTCCTTGTAAGTGCAAAAATTTGGTAGAATATGGACAGGATGCATGGGAGGTTGGACGCTAACCGATCCGATACTTCAAACTGAGCCGCTCAGGTATGATCTTACCCTTAGAGGCAGAGGGCTAAGAGGAGTGCTCTCTAGCACCATGAATGAGAAAACAAGTGGTGCCTCCCTCCTAAACTCCATTTTCACTCACGATTTTCACTCATGATTTGAAAACGGGGTGCTAATCAAATTCACGGGTTAAATTTTAACCCCGTGATCATTTGTTTCCACACATGTTCGGCACTCGCTCGAAAAGGATCATTTCCGATGACATCATTTGCAAACCGGTTCCGGTTGGCGATCTCTCTCACTACGCTCATTTCAATCCCGTCATCATCGTTGATTATGTATCGAAATGATGATATCACTATTGATTATCATGACGGGTTTATAAGGCGTTCCCCGCTTTTGCTATGGTCAAGAAACATTCTGCAGAAACACGGAGAATAGATCGAGAAGACTAATTGTGCCTTTCAATATTACCTTTGAAATTTCATGATTTGTGGTTCTCTAAGTTCTGGAATATTCCACTAATATGAAACTACTCTTCGTTTATGGAGATCTTATCAACTGAATAGGAAAAGAATTTAATTTTCTACATACCACTGTGACACCGTCATTGAAGAGCGCTTCGCCGAAGACGTTCACAAAAATGAACTCATTCACGTTGATTTCTTCAAACACGGCAATCACCGCTACCTTAAATAACAATATTAACTATAAATAACAATAATTATCGCCAGTTTTTGCTACAGTCCAACAGAATTTTCTTCTTCATTTTATCATTTAAGCATGTGATCACCGGCGTGACGCGAAGCGTCTCATTGCACATCTCGTCCGGGCAGTGTCGTACTCCTTACTTTAGATACATAAACTAACATAACTCTAGAACCCGCTCGGTACATGAAATGATTGGTTCGGAATATGTTTCAATTTAAGCGAAACTTTTTTGACCCTCACGTACTCTCTCATTATCCCTTTCACCCACTATGAACTTCTCGCGTGTAGTTGGCCTCAAGAGTTCACAAAATGCAGTCGCGCTCACCTTCAGCAGTGATTCGACTCACGTCTATTTTGATTTCATTCAGGTAATATTCCCAGTTGAATCTTTGTGATACCTTCCTGCTTTGTATTCCGTTATTTTTGTGTTCTATAACGCCCCAGCCTCCCCTCCCAGCAACCTTTGTACCCTTGTTTCGTTGCATTCGTAGTTGAGCTCCGAAAAACGCCCTCCGTAGGACTGCGGGACGCGGCTGCGCGTCACAGAAATCCGCTGCCTGCCAAACTGTTCATGTCCCACTTGACCAAAAAAGCCAAAACGTGCGTTTTCATCAACGTGTTAAACATGGGAAAGTGGCGCAGCGGCAGCTAGCCTACTTACAACGATCGCGGTTCAAGGATCAGATCCTCGGTTGCGCTGCGTCTATTTCTGCTTTACAACAACCACTCAACCAGTCCCTTGAAGTAGCTGGTTTCTGAGGCAGAGTTGACCAGAGATTCATAAGTGCTAACGCAAACACAGGCAAGACCCCATAAGCGAATGTTTTCCAAAAAATGAGTAGTCCTAACCCAAGAAATTTCTTAACTGTCGCAACTTACCGGATCGACAGCTGAGATGAGAGCAGAAAAAAGACAAAAATTTCCGTGGTAGAAAATTCCATAGAGAAGATACCATAACTAGACAGTACAAGCAAAGAGAATCTGAAAAAAAGGTAATTCAATCCCCTTGCTCTGAAAAAATTGATCGAAGTACAGCCTGTGATTTAGCTCGGCCATCAATGATTAATGACCGTATCGAGCGGTGTTCTATTTACCGAACGTGAAGAACTTCGGGCGCTATGCGTCCATTAGTCTTTGCTCAAGTTCGGATTTTCATTGAGCGTGGATTTCTTTCGCTTGATATAAAGAGTGCAAGAAATTTTGATTACTATGCGAGACGTTTTTTTTAGCTTTTCCCGTAACTGGGTGGTAATATGTCTTCATAATTGTGGAGGTCATCCTCAGGACGCCACTGACATAGAGATTGAAAGTACAAGTCAGTCGACATGGAAGATTCAAAGTTCAATTTGTTTCATTTTCACAGACAAAAATAAATTTTATATGTCTGTTTATGTTGACTTTTAGTAACGTAATGAATCTGAACGATTGAACACTCGAAGACAGGGAATAATTTTATCATGCATATAATTTTGACCAAAAATATTTTTACCTCCCTTTCCGGTATTTAACTACTCGAACTTCCACAAACAGTATTAAAGGTCCGTGCTTCAGTGAGGTTCTCATCGAATTCTTCACTGAAGAAATAAATGCGAAAGGTTTCTTCCCCCCCCCCCACCTCCACCGTCTGAAAAGGCGACAATTTTTATCCTGAACACGGTGGGAATAAAGCCAAGTTCATACATACATGCTCCCGCTAGACCAAGAGGATCAAGAAATTTTGCAGTGGGCCATCCACCTACCTGGTCTACCGTTCGTGAAAGGTAAACTATCCAGATGAGCATAGCCGGTTTTCGAAGTGACGTTTTTGCTTTTTCCCTGTGTGTACATAGTTTTCTACCCTTCCTGTTCCGTCCGAGTGTGTTTCAGTTGCTCTCCTCGTGTCAGCTCACAAAAATTAAGGCACCAAGCACCTGCTCGTAGCACCTTTGAGAGACTAAGCCTAAGCTCAACCATAGGCTTAAACATAAGAAAATGTGTAAGCATTAGCCTAAGCTGAGCCTAATCCGAGTCACAATCTTAGGCTTCAATGACCGCGCATCTCTGGTGTGACCTAGGAAGAGAACTGAGCGCCTCTCCTGCCCCGCTCTGGAAGCCGTCTCTGAGAACATGTTCTTTCATTGCTAAGAAGTTCTCTGATCCAAAAAACACAGAATCACGATTTTGTAACGTGTTCTGTGATACGAACAAATAGATTTACAAGCGCTATCAACTAACGATGGGCGCCACTACCGTAATCCTGTTAGCGATTAGGCAAGCGTATTAGCGAATCGATTGTGGCGAGAGGAGTTCATTGAAGGAATTTCGAAGTTTCATCAAAAATTTGATAGGTAATGCAAAGAACACGTTTGCTGGCGAGCTCGCAGTTTTTTTTATCCAGAAAAATTCCATGCAACAATAGAAAGCTTACCTATTGCCAAACAGTTCCATATTGTTCCCACGACGGCGAATAGAAGCACCGAGTCGAAATTCTCAAAAAGAGCCCTGTTAGGCATGAAATAACCTGAATTCAGTACTTCATCAACCTACTATCTATTGAGTAATGAACACAACAGTAATTTTTGTAAAAAGATGCCAAGTGCTCTTAAAATTATACCCGCATCAAAAATGATTGGTGGTAGTAGATATAAGAAGAATACGTGAGAGTCAAGTGAATAATTTATATGGGCTCCGGTTTCCTTGAGAAGTAGCCCGATGACAAACCGACTGCGATTAACAGGGATGAGTCGGGTAACACGTTCGATATCGGCTTGAATACATGGAACACTGAAAGTTAAATAAGGGTGATATAAATTTGTTTAAAACAGAGAAGCTCCAAAAGTTTTATTCCAAAAGAATTCCAAAAGTTCACAAAAGTCCAAATACTCCAAAAAACGAGCCAAAAATTTTGAAAAGAATTCCTTTGGAAACTTCCGCGATATTTCGGTGTATAACACCTTCTTCAGGCCCCTCAGGCTCAGAAACTTTTGGAGCTTCTCTGTTTTAAACAAATTTAGGTCCTGATGAGGCTCCGGGACAGCACAATACTAGAGAGATGGGCTGATATAGTTTATGACTGCATGCGCAAATCTAAAAAATGACAGAAGGATCAACCTGCAGAATGACATTAATAGCGAGAACTGTGCACTATTCAGAAAAGTATAATTTATATAATTTATTTACTATTTAAAATTTAATTTAATTTATTATTTGACTATAATTTATTTTAATTGCTTAGAATAAGGATTCTTTTCCTTTGATGCCTTAGAAATGAAATTGATAGTAAACTCACAAATCTTAGCTAAGGCGGCTACAAGTAACCATGTTGCAATCATATAGGGTGTCTCGTTCGCCAGCCATCGAAACGTGACTACCTGAAAGGAAATTTATAGTCAGTAGCGGTACAGTACAGTACACTTCAACACGTTACAGTATTGTAAAGCATGTAGTAAAGTACGGTAGCTATGGTAGACCGTGCTACATCCATTTATCTGGGTGAACGTGTCCACAAAACTAGTGATAGGCGAGCACAGAACAGTTCTTTCAGGGCTATTTTTAGCTTTTTTCCACTGATTTTCAATATCAATTGGCCCCAGTAGGCCGATGTCAGACTTGGGAAATCGAGGGATTCGCAGCGTCCGTTGTCGGTCGCGTATTCTGGTTAGTAGCCGTTCGGAGTAGTAGCGAATCGCTCGATCCGCAAAGTGTGACATCGGCCATAGGTTTATTTGTGGAAAAGTAAGCTTACCGAAGCAATTATTGGTGGGGGTAGTGCATATTGTAATCCGTTATCCCTAGTACCCTTTGTAGGCAAGCCTAGAGGCCGCAGACGACGCCCCTCAGGAGTTGAGGCCAGCATGACGACGGCCCCCTCAGGGGTATGAACTTTACATTTGAGGCAGCCACGCCACTGTTGTATTGCAGATAGTGCAACTTTCTCTCCAGCTACAAGGTTTTTTCAGAAGCGTTTCATCGAGGAAGTCCGCTGACGGGAATGTACGGGCGTAAAATGCAATTTATTTTGTTTTTTATAAAATTAGCACATTGTTTGACTGCATGGGGTTAAATTTGTGACATAGTATTCAGATGGAAAGATCATTTCACAAACTAATTTCAATTTTAAGAGCATATAAGGGTAGGGCTTGAAAATACATAAAAGCTCAGTTCCGTTCCACCAGCCCTTACCATTAGACGCAGGCCGAACAGTTGAAATGCTCTCGCTCTGTACTCCCTCCAAGTGAATGCTTGTGTTCTCTCAGTCATCTGTAGAACGTCGAACAACCACTTGCTCAAACGCAGAGCTATCCATCTGTTGCGCACCTTCAAAGAACGTGGATTTTTGGAGGGCTGACGTCATAGTAGGAAAATGGGAGCATAGGAGCGTTGCGTCATAGGCCGAGATGCAGCAAGAAATTATTCAGGAATCTTCAGGTTTTTCACAGGTTTTGGAAAAATTTTTAGAAAAATTTCCCAATTTTCGCCGTTTTAGCTGACCCATAATACTCAATCGGGAGCCACATTGTTGTTAGCATGAGGAAACCTGGGTCATCAGGCTTCCTCATGTAATAACCGAGTTGCAGCTTGCTCCGCCTGGCCCATGTTGTTAGAATCGTTCTTGGCCCTAAATATTTCCCGAACGGCCGTCCGTTTTCGGTTCGGTATCCAGAGACCTTTTTTACGGGCATCTCTTAAGGAAGCGAGTAGCACTTCCCTGTATCGGATATGCTTCTGAGAGGAGTAAGTGATACTTACTAATGTTACTAATGTTAATTATGATACTTACTAATCTTACTGCATCGAAGATGCTCCCGAGAGGAGTAAGTGATACTTACTAAACCAATCGGAATCTAAAACGAATGAAATGAGGGCTTCGGGATGCTAGCGGGGTTCGTCTTTGGCAATGGTGCTCTTAGTCCGTAAATAATTCAGTGACAAATGACACGAAGTAATACACTGGTGTGCAAAACTTAAGGACGAGACAGATGAAGTATCATAACCTTTTGATAGCTTTGTGGACCGTTTAACGGTTCCTGTTAACTGCTTTCTTTAGTGCCCTGTGGCAGCTCTTTGTATGTGTGGTTAGGTTCCATAGAGTCATGTTACGCGCCAGTAACACGTCGTTGGAAAAGCTACGTTCGTCCCTAAGTTTTGCACACCAGTGTATAATCGTCCTCATTTTTTGAGCCGAATACACTAGAATCTGCTGAAAATACTAACAAAACAGAAAATTCTAACAGTATTTTGGCGAAATGGACGAATCAGTCAGTGGTAGACCGTCGGGTAACAAAAGTTGAACACGATGTTGGGTGCTTGGCACTGGGAAAACGTGAACCCTCAATTTCGAAAGACGAGAAGAGCGTCGAGTGCAGACCACACACCATAAGTGACGACGGCCAAGAAAAAAGGAAAGAAAGCCTTTTCTTGGCCGTCGTCACTTGTGGTGTGTGGTCTGCACTCGACGCTCTTCTCGGCTTCCGAAATAGAGTGCACATTCGATTTAAAGTCGATGCAATTGAACATTGGTACGTATTGCTGCTGATTTTTGCTGATGTTGATGTCAAAAAAAATTCCTCACTTAGAACTCTGGAAGAAGTCGTGGAATGGGCTATTTATCAAAGTAATAGTTGCTCATTTGATAAATGTTCTCCCAATTTTTATCCAAGCTATGTACTCATCCTTTATGGATCATGGAACGCAGTTGCCCGGTAAGCAAAACGGGGAGGATTAAAGGTTCGACTCCCATCTGGGACGAAACTCGCGAATGGCACTACACTTTTCTTAGACGTTCGCAACGTGAACTGCGGCTATAAATTAAGAGCTAGCAAGCAAATTAAGTGAAAAAATATTATTTATAGACGTTTCCCCCAAATAGTGCCAACACCACTTCAGACGCTTGGCTACCTAAGATAAGATCGCTGGTAATGTCTGTGGAGTTCTTTTGTACCCTTCGATTCCGGTTTGAATTAATCGAAAGTGAACAGAGCATAAACACGTAGCAGATTCTTATCAAAATTTCACGAGATCATGTTTTTTGCTTTGATTGGTCTCAAAACGAGTGTATTCAGGAACAGTTGCCAAAACTTCAATCACTACGAGTGAAATTTGATATGACTTATTGTCGTATTGCTTTTTTGTCTCACACGTCAAGCGGTGAGTCGTTCCTGTATATTTTCAGTGGTTCTTATCGTGTACCGTAACAGCTCTTGGAAAAATTCCTTCAAAAGGTGTAATATGACTGAATGTACAAAAAAGCGAAGACATGTTTAGCCTCTTTCAGAAGTGAAACGTGCCGTGAATGCAGACTTGATAACGAATGTGGCATCCAGTAATATCAGAAAAAAGAACACACGTTCTTCTTGAATTTGTAGCCGCCCTTCCTACTGAGCCTGTTGTCAAGCCGGGAAACAGAATTTACGCACAGGTCGCACGAGTAGCTTTCCTAGTTGCACAGTTTTCGACGATCTTGAATAAAAAGGTGATAGTAATTATGCTATTCGAGCTCTACGGGCTTTTGAGCTAGGGCCTTTGAAAAGCGTCAATACAATGGCCTGTTCCGCAGTCTCTTGCTCAAATAGTCCCGGAGCCACAGTGACTTCCCATGGTCCAAATCTGCCCCACGCCATGTGGTTCTACCATCCGGGTCCCCTGCATACCCCCTGGTTCACGGTTGTCCGAAGCTCAAACCGCACCTGTCTTCTACCCGTCTAAGCTGTAGCCTTTCGCGACAGAGAACCTGGAGCCTATTCGACGAAAAACCAATCCGGTGCTCGTGGGAGTCTACATGTGTCTTTTTCAAAAAAAAATCAAAAATTAATAAATCAAAAAATATGTGAATTTAAAAGACAAATATTCAGTTTTGGTATTTTCTGATTGTCGATCTCGAAAAAAAAAACTCCAGCCACTAACTCTAGCCTCATTTATTACAACACCGCTGTTACGACAATCTGCAGCCTTCGGTAAATTTTATTTTCCGATGTACCTTTCTAAAGGCATACCTATCACGATATGCTATACAAACCAAGAAATCAGCGAGTTGGGTAAAGAAAAAAGATTAGTCTAAGTCCATAATTATGTGCTTCCGATCGCGGGGAACAGGCTTTACACGCCATTTTGGCTCGAGTTGGAAAATTTCAAGTAGAAGACCTGAATTTTAGCTCAGAAAAGAAGCTTGCAATGGGATAAATACCCCAAGACTAATTTGTTGAAATATTTGTTATTAAAGGTATAATCTTTTGAATGAAGCTTTCAAAAGGTAATATCCTACTTACTATAAAGCGCTTCGTCTGTCGTCTGTCTGTCTGTCTGTCGTTCTGTATGTCTGTCACGAAATTCCCTAGCTCCTCGGGACCTGGAGGGACCGGGTCAAGTGTGGAATGGGTGGGCAAGGTCTCACGAAGCACAAAAAAAGGAAAGCGGTCAACTGCTATTAGTGGGCGGAGCACGCACCTAAGTGGGCGGAGTTTGCCAAAAGTGTCGTAATTTGGTTCCAAGAGGTCCCAGAGACCGGTGAAAAAAGGGGTAGAGGTCGGCGAAAGGAAGGGGGCCAAATGCTATTGGTGGGCGGGGCACGCACCGAAGTAGGCGGAGTTTGCCACGAGATTTATTGTCCGGAAGCAGTCCGGAGAAGGATAATGGTTGACGAAGAAAAAGGTTGAAAGCCGTCGATGATGGAGCGGATAGAATTTAGCTGAGAATTCAGATATTCGTATATATCAGCCAAAAATGAAAATTTTCGTCACACCATCAAAATTCGCCGCAGATCTGTGTCGCGCGCGCAATGCGTGCGGCGCCAACTGGTGTATAATGATAACCCGCTAGTTTATGCTCACAACGGTGTGAAAGGTCCCTGCCGTGAG